GCTATTTCCGACATTTGTTAACTTTTTATTAAGTGACTGTTACATGATTATTAGAAATGATAAATAATAGATAATAAAAATTTGTAAAATAAATGATGTGAGTCACAGTAACGCAGAAGTTTATGAAAAGGTTTGTTACCATTTATTTAAAAGGACACTATAGAGTATACCCTGTAAGGTGGTGGCACCGGAGTGCATAGAAATGGAAATAAATGCATTCTACATTATGTGCAATTTAAAATTTGTACAGAAAGAGAAGCAATGTTTTCCTAGAAATAAACATTAAAGGCCATTCTGTTATTCCTGTAAATGAAATGCTCCTTTAACTGAGAAAAAAAACTGTTGTAATGATGAAGCACCCAGCTCACACTGCCACCAGACAAGAGGCTATGCTACAACCTGCCACCAAACAGATTATCTCCTTCAGAACAAGTTTCTGTTAAGATACAAAAGAGTAAATCATAATTGCTGATATTTTACTTTATAGCCCTTGAAATTGTGGTATAATGAGAAATAACATTTAGAAATGACTTTTCTCTCTTTTTCTAGCCCACCTGTTTTAACAGCTTTTTTGCCATAACTGAACACAGCTGTGCACACAGATTATTTTACCTAAGTCGTCCTCGCATTTTTATTGCATTACTCTTAATATGATCTTTATTTAATTTGAATGTGATCATTGATGATAATACATTAGATTATTTATAGATTATTATAACTTTATCGGAAAATGGAGGATAATTATGAACATAGATATAGATACTGTGTGTATTGAGTGCAGCAGGACTCGGTCAGTGTAGATCGAGCTATATTCACAGCTACATCCAGTTTTTGATAGAGGAAAGTGCATTTATTTAAGTAAAATTTTAGAAGCATTCAATTTAAATTGAAATCCATTTACTCCGTTACTGTGGGTGTGTTTCCCCTTAACTCCTAATCCCAGTACTTCACTCCCCACATTAGCAGTTGCCAACCGAATGCCACATACATTATCTTCAACATAAATGTTTATTTTGTTGAACTGATATCAAATTAAGATCTGAAAATACACATTTCTAATTTATTTTGAGCAAACGTAATGGGGTAATGAATAACGATGTCTTTGTATATCAATTTTATATGTCAGTTTTTACTTTTTAAAAATAAGAAAACAAACACACACAAAACAACCCACAAGCTACACACATACAAGTACATACTGTAGGAGTTTTCTGAATTCGGGCGGAACTTAGAGGCTGCGCTCTCAGTTTCTACGGAACCTCTGAAACATCACAGACGACCGGAAGCGGTTGCAAATTTGAACAGCTATCTCAGCAACAATAAACGCGCACTTTCACTTTAAGGTATGTCTACTGAATCAAAATTTTAATGAAAAATATACAGAAGCTTACAGGGGATTGTTTTAAGGCGAGACATGCACGCTGGAGGAAGCATATTTTTACCACTCATTTGCACCGCGCTACCTATATCCATGGCTGCCGATTTTGAAGCTATTACCTAGAAAAAAAAATTGTCCATAGTCAAAGCATTTTTTCCCAACCCCTTAATATGAATACATGTGCTGTGCAGTAAACATAAAATCGGTATAGTCTGCAGGTGACACTTTTAATTGTGTCTGGCACTAATATGAGGCCTCAGCGCAAACAGATTGCTACACTTTTGTGTCCAGAAAATAGACGTAGCCGGGAGCTACCTATCCATTTACTAGGACTAGCAATATAGCATTGTTATTATTTTTTTAAAAGAAGGATTTTGTTACTACTTTTCTTTCCATTTTGTTAGCGTATGGGTAGACCTTGAACTTTATGACTGTGTTTTTATTTAAAAGTGATGGTCTGCGGGGTGATGGATGCTTGTCTGTGTAGTTTGCCTTGTGACCCAGTAAGTAGTCGGTGTAAATTCCGCTCACTTTCGGTGTATGAGAAGTTAATGTAATTTTTGCTTAGTTGTTTTGAAAATGGAGGAAATGTTGTTGTCAAGCTGTTTTGAGAGGACAAACTTTTAATTGCAATTTTTGGAAATATTTTGACTTTTACATTGAAAAATGGTAAATTGGCACCATTTATCAACCAATGCTGAAAATGGGCAGGTCATGGAAACATCTATAGTGAACATCAGAAATTTAAAGGATCCTGCAGCGCTGCTATTTAACCCCCGCAGCAGACTTGTTTTGGACCTTTTGCCTTAATCTTTCCCCTCTTTTTGCTTATCTCCTCTGCATTAAATTTTGTACCAAGGAGAAATTCAGTTAGACTGACCAGCAGAATGAAGCAGAACGGTACAGGAGCTGAATGGCATTCTGATGCACCTTAATTAATGATAAGAGACTTGGTGTGTCAGTTTGTCATGCACTGTGTTTATAGCAGAAAATGTGCAGGAGCCTTTCAGCAGTGGGTGACTCAGCAGTTTGCTGCTGTTTTTTTTTAAATCTTTGTTTTCTTTAAGAGTGGCTCAGTAGAAGCTTTTTGGGGGGAAATGGAAAACATGCCTCGAGTTTGAGTGAATCTGACCTCCAAAGGTTAAAGAATAGAAAAACAAACATTTGCTGTGTAGCACTATTCCCTCAGAGGTTATGCGATGGTTAGGATCACGTTTTGTTTCTTCAAGGCGATTACACACACCAGTACAAACTCTACATCTGACATGAAGGAACTGACGGCTTATGTAATTGATGTGATGCAGAAACATTTACTGGGTGACTCAAATGTAAAGCGTTATTGACACAGATGACGTTTAAACCTGAGATCAAACATTGTTTTCCCTCAGAATTTAAATACAGCTTTAAAAAAAAAATGCTGTTACATTTATTTTCAATCTTCCTACCTGTTTGCATTTATAATTCACAGCATTAAAATGACCAAACACCGCCTCCTATAGGTCAAAAGCCTTTTTTAAGGTGAACTTGATACATCCCAGTAAGAGACTTGTAAATATGAAGAAATACTGTTGTAGAATTGTTACTTCAATATTTTTTAATTTACTTAAAAGAAAGGCCAAGATAAGCAGCCCCACTTATACGACATATATACTTATATACTTACACAATGTCACCAAGAGGAGTGACATCCTTATTAAAAAAAT